GGGGGGGGGGGGGGGGGGGGGGGGGGGGGGGGGGTGGTGCGGCGCCAAGATCCGGGTTCCTGGGAGGAAGAGGGCTATGTTCTTGGGGAGTATCGGGCGAGGCAGCCGGTGATCTCGGCCGCATTCACTCGTGACCTCTCTCCCAGGCATGACCTGGCTCCCACCAAGCGCAGCCGGAAAAAGATGGCTGCGCTGGAGTGCGAGGACCCTGAGCGTGAGCTGAAGAAGCAGAAGCGGGCTGCCCGCTTCCAGCATGGACACTCCCGCCGCCTGCGCCTCGAGCCCCTGGTGCTGCACATGGGCAGCCTGGAGAGCAGCGGCGCGGACCCCGACTGGCAGGAGCTACAGATCGTGGGCACCTGCCCTGACATCACCAAGCACTACCTGCGCCTCACCTGTGCTCCCGACCCGTCCACTGTGCGCCCTGTGGCAGTAAGTGCCTGGGAGGGGCAGGTCCCCCTGCGGGGCCACCGCCGGCACAGGGGGCTGTGGGTGGCGGCAGGAGCCTGTGGCTGCGCAGGGACGTGCTCTGGAGCCTGGGTCCCGGTCACGTGGCCTCCTCGGGAGACATCCTCGGCTCTGAGCAGCCGTCTCCTGTTGAGGAGGCAGGGGGAGGGAAGCCGCCTCCCCAGGCCAGCGCTTTGGGAGACGGGTGATCGTGCCGCTGTGCTCTCTGCTGGGCAGCGGCAGCGTGGCTGACCCTGTGCCCAGGGTACACGCTGATGTGGGCAGCTGGGGCTCGGGAGCCGGCACTCTTGCCGAGTGTTTTGGGTTCCTTATGAAGTTGGTAGCAAGATGCTAAGTGGCTTTGATGTTGCACTTTTTTTCTTATACACGGAGTTTAAGAAATTGTAATGGGTGGGGCGCCTGGGTGGCTCAGTCGGTTGAGCGTCTGAATTTGGCTTCGGTCATGATCTCGCGGTTTGTGAGTTCAAACCCCGCATCGGGCTCTGGTGCTGACAGCCTGGAGCCTGCTCTGGGTTCTGTGTCCCCCTTTCTCTCCACCCCACCCCTGCTTGTGCTTTGCCTCTCTCTGTCTTTCAAAAATGAATAAACGTTATGGGGCGCCTGGGTGGCGCAGTCGGTTAAGCGTCCGACTTCAGCCAGGTCACGATCTCGCACTCCGTGAGTTCGAGCCCCGCGTCGGGCTCTGGGCTGATGGCTCAGAGCCTGGAGCCTGTTTCCGATTCTGTGTCTCCCTCTCTCTCTGCCTCTCCCCCATTCATGCTCTGTCTCTCTCTGTCCCAAAAATAAATAAAAACGTTGAAAAAAAAAAAAAAATTCAAAAATGAATAAACGTTAAAAAAAAAAAAAGAAGTAACGGGTGTTAGTTATAGCCTTGCTCACCTTGCTAAAAGCACACTGAGCCTTAATTTGGATCCCTTCCCAGGTTTTGAAAAAGTCACTGTGCATGGTCAAGTCCCACTGGAAAGAGAAACAGGACTACGCCTTTGCCTGCGAGCAGATGAAGTCGATTCGGCAGGACCTGACGGTGAGGGGGGTGCTGGGAGGGCCTTGCCGTGGTGAGTCCTGGCCTGCCCTGGCCTCACCGCTCCCCCGTGCTGTTCCAGGTGCAAGGCGTGCGGACAGAGTTCACGGTGGAGGTGTATGAGACGCACGCCCGCATCGCCTTGGAGAAGGTGAGTGGGGTGCCGGGGCCCTCTCGGGCTCTTTGGGGCTCCCTGTCCTGGCCTCACTCTCTTTCTCGTTCTCGTTCTCCGCGCGCGGGGCTCCAGGGCGATCACGAGGAGTTCAACCAGTGCCAGACGCAGCTCAAGTCGCTGTACGCCGAGAACCTACCCGGCAACGTGGGCGAGTTCACTGCCTACCGGGTCCTCTACTACATCTTCACCAAGAACTCAGGAGGTGGGAGGCGCCGCCTGCAGGTCGGGCTGGCCCCAGGCCCCCGGGGTTGGGTGCTGCTGACCCCGTTTGTCTCGGGCCGCAGACATCACCACGGAGCTGGCGTACCTGACTCGGGAACTGAAGGCAGACCCTTGCGTGGCGCACGCCTTGGCACTGAGGGCAGCCTGGGCTCTGGGCAACTACCACCGCTTCTTCCGGCTCTACTCTCACGCACCCTGCATGTCCGGGTACCTGGTGGACAAGTTTGCAGACCGGGAGCGCAGAGCTGCCCTCAAGGCGATGATCAAAACGTATGTGGAGCTGGGTTCTCTCCCTGCCCCCGCTTCTCTGCCGGCCCCGCCGCCGTCCACCCTTCTCCCCTCTGCCCTCCGCACCCTCCTGGGCTCCTGTCCCCGGGCCTGTGGTCCTCTCTGCCCGTCTCTTCTTTCCACATACGCTCTGCTTCCCAGTCCCTCCTGCTTCCCTTCACTCAGTTCGCCCTCTGCGTCTCCTGTGTCCCCCACTCTGTCTCGCTGCTCCAGGGCGCCCTCTGCACCCCTCTGAGTCTCTGTTTCTCCTGCTCACGTCACCCCGGACCCTGGTTTGCCTTCTTGCTCTGGGCTCTTGGTTTCCTTCCTCCGAGGTCTCTGTTCACCTTTGAAGGCTCTCCCGTCACTGAGCTCCCACTCGGTAGAGACAGACTAGGAAGGACGGCCCTGCTCTTGGTAGCCTCTGATCTAATGGGACGAGACCCCGTTTGTTTCTGAGCTCCTTAAAGAGTGCAGAGTGTTTAGGGAGACCCGTGTGATTCGGGGGCAAGCCAGGTCAGGGCGGTTCTCTGTTCAATAGATGTCACTGGTGCCGTGTGTGTGCGCGTGCGTGCTTGTGCTGGGGAACCTGTGGTCAGGGCGCGGAGATGCCTCTGGGCGACATGGGGCCAGATCAGGAGACATTTGTTGTTGTCACAACTAGGGGGTGCTCCTGGTGTCTAGTGGGTAGTGCCCAGGATGCCCCATGACGGAGAATTACCCGGCCCCAGTGTCAGTCTTGCCAGGGTTGAAAACCCTTGGTCAGAGATTGGTAGGTCCAAGGGGCCACATCCATTAGCGTAGCCACAGGGATGGTGTGGAGATGAGGAGACACAGTCACCCTGAAATTAGGAGATGCACACATTCCGGGATCCAGTTCGGGTCCAGAAGATTTGAGGCAGAGCGGAGCCAGGGCAGAGGCCACAGAAGGAGAGACAAGGATGTGGGACAGAGACACGGAGGCGGCAGGAAACACAGGACACGGTTGCGTACCCAGGGGTGATGGGGAGGTGGTACGTCTGGAGGCCCCGGGGGCTGTCCCTCCGTCTGCCCTCTGCAGTGGGACAGCCGTTCCCAGGGTGTCATGTGGACAGGCTGGGCCTGGGAGCAGGGGTCCTGGCCTCTCACTGGCCAGACGCTCTCTCTCACCCCTTCCTTACTCCCTGGCAGACACGTCCCTCCCTCCCAGAGCCTCCAGAACCAAGTCCTAGCAGGGCGTGCGGGAGGCCAGCTCAGATGTGGGGAGAAATAGGCCGTCTCGTGCCCCCCGTGGCTATCAAGGGCCACCATGCGGCATGGGCGTGAGGCATCTGTCCTCTCTGCCGCTTGCTCCCTGTGCGATTTGGAGCTCCGGGTTCGTTCGTGTGTGTTTGTAAAGGGTAGGGGTGACACGGTTTCTGGGAGCGAGCTCAGCCAGTTCACAGCCGTTTTCTGGAACGTGCCAAGTCTCTTGTGCGCAACTGCAAGTGACTGTTGCCAGTGTGCAAGGGTGTAGTGGGGGTTGACCCTGTGCCCAGGGTTCCCGAGGCACTTAGACCCAGGCAGGGGGGTTCCCCAGAATAGCTGTCAGACCTGCCACCTGTGCCCATGCCCGTGCCCTCGGGTCACTCCCTCTGCCTGGCCCCTGCCCTTGGGCCAAAGTGGGCCCTCTTCTGAGGGCCTGCTCAGGCCCTTGAGCAGCGGAGGAGCCAGCTGGGCCCTTCCCTCCCATCCCCACTCCTGGGTCCCCCCGTACAGGTAAGTGAGGGTGAAGGGGGGGCACAACTGGGGCTGGGGCCACCACCCCTGCCCCGGGCCCCCCCAAGCCCCTGGAGGTGGGGAGGTCGGGCGGGGGTGGCGATGAGAGGTCAGCAGGTAACGTGCCGAGGAAGCCCTTTGGGTGCCCGAAGGGGGGGCGCCCACTCCCTGCTTGTGGGGCCCTCCCCTGCCCGCCGCCCGCCTCATCACATTCTCCTCTTGTCTCCGTAGCTTCCGCCCTGCGCTGCCAGTCTCCTACCTGCAGGCCGAGCTGGCCTTCGAGGGCGAGGCCGCCTGCCGAGCCTTCCTAGAGCCCCTGGGCCTGGCCTACACGGGCCCGGACAACGCCAGCATCGACTGCCGCCTCAGCCTGGCGCAGCTATCAGCCTTCTGAGCACCAGCGCGGATGGGGGCGGGGTGGGGGCAGGGCTGTGGCTCCCCAGCGCCGCCTTTGCCGTTTTGTTTTTGAGCCATGGACTTGGGTTGTAAATTAACTCACGGGGAGCGGGCTCCAGGAAGAGCCGTCATCCCTGTCCCCGTTTTCCCACCGGGGAGTCTGTACAGAGATTTTTTTCTACATTTTTATTTTTTGTCTCAGAGG